AGTTCATCGCACGTAAAGACCCTCGGTTCCGTCTGCCACCTCTTTCTATTTCTCGTTTCCCTCTTTGCCTCCACCTATTCATTGTTATTTTTAAGTAATTATATGCAGATATTACTATTATTATTATTATGTCTTGTCTTTGCTTAGCTGGGTATTCCCAATCGTTAACCAGATCATCGTAAATGTGTAGACTATTATTCTGGATATGTTCCCTTATACAAATGATAATTAAGAGATATATGTCTTATATAACTAAACAATGGTTTAGCACTGTAGATTACTAAAGTTTTGGAGATGGAGATGACACAATTAAGAAGGAAGATTTGATCATGAAATTGCAATAGGCGTATCAACCATCGATCATATTTTACTTTCTTAGAAATAAGATAATTGGGTTTTGTGTTAAACTCCGAGAGATGTGTTTTAAACCCCTTTGCTTGGCATCATTATTGGAGTTGTCATTTCAGATTTTCAATTTTAATGAAGTAAACATAAGGACATAATTTGCTTGGTAGTAAACATCGTTGTATATTGAAGAAGATCACATATATATACTGGTACCAACTCAAAAAATAAATTTTATTTATTTGAATAACATCAATTATAAAGAAGTAATATTAGTGATATGTATCTTTAATTAAAAATATTTAATTGGTACTGCATAGTCAAAGAAAATTAATTTAACTTTTTGTTTATAAAAAGTAAGTCATAAACCTACACCCAGAAGTAGGCAATGACGTCATCAGATTTGAAATGAATAAGAAAACATGAGGCTCAAGTGTAAAATCACAAAAAACAAAAAAAAAAATCATAAAATGATCTCTTCAACCTACAAACACGAGTAGCATCAATCAAAGAGACCAATCATTCTACATATTTTCATGTAAAGTGAATAGAAGAAAGACAATGTTTATGTTGAGCTATTACATACATAATTTTGAAAATATCAATAATAAGTACAGTAAAGGCCCCGAAACTTGAATAAAATAAAATCATAATTTAAATACGGAAACAAAATAATAGAGTTACGGTTTACATTCCATACATAATAAGGACTTCCCAAACCTTCCTGGTAAAGAACTTCTTAGCCCCATTCGACTGAAGTAACGTTCACAGTAGGGTTCCCTATATACCGGATCCGTCTACCCTTTTCTGGGTACCCAGTAAGTCTTTTTTATACATATTTTTGTCAGCATAAAAATCAACCATGCAATAAATATATCTCATTTTATACTCACCGTATACTTAAACAACAATATAGTTTCACACTGCCAAAAAACCAATGATATAGAAAAATAATAAAATAACCAAAAAGACTCTAAAAATCATCAATTGAGTTACGCACAGTATAATAGTAAACAAATATATATAATATAGAAAAATAAATAGAAAATCGAAACGACTGTGAACTAACTGGTTCAGCCTCCAATAGTGACATGTAATTATTCTTAGAGTTCTCTAATTTTCATAAAAATATATAATTATTAATTATTAAGTTTCAATTTATCATAACGGAGTAAATTGTGTAGGGCCCTTACCCGAATCGGTGTTCGTAACATTAAACTTTCTACTGCGCCTCCTGGCGGTCCCCGAAAATTTTTTTGAATTATCCTTGCAAAATTAAAAATACTTGTCACATACCTAAAAATACCATAGGAATCCAAAATTGGTAAAAAAAAATAATTTATGGTATAGTGGCACAGCCGTGCTCCAGTGACAGCACCACCAGCTGCAGCAGCGATTTGCTTCGACTTGCCTGTTTTTGGCTAATTTCAGCCGGATTTATACGTATCACTGCGAAAAAATCACGTTACGGGGTCTCGATTGATTGAAAAAAATCAAAAAACGGATATATACAAGCAGTGGAGTTTTTCAGGTGCGGCAGCTCCGTCGGCTCACTTTCACGGCTGAGAGTTTTTCTTCAGTCAACCTATAAAAAACAGAACGATGAACACAACGGTGGAAAAATCGCACGAAACGGGAAGTGAGAAGGGGCTCATCGGAGAAGGTTGTGAGTGTTGCCCGTGGCGGCGCCGCCGGACTTTGCCAGTCAGTTTTTGGCTCACCCGCCATTCTTTTTGCTCTGATTTGGCCATAGGGGTGCTCAGAATTAAATTTCGAGTGGATGAGAGAATTTTTACCTTTTTTGGCGGTTAGAGGTGGCTCTGATGCGGTGCGGTCGGTGGCCGGCTCCCTTCTCCGACGACTAGTTTTTCTTCTCTTGCAGGAGGCTGGCGACTAGGGTTTGGGTTCAGTGTAATGTGAAATATTTATACACATCTCGTGTTAATTTGGGCCGTTCATCGTGTTTGATCTCGATCGCTTGATCGTATCTAAAGAAAAAATGAATATGGACCGTTCACTGCGATTTAATCTCGACCATCCAATCGAGTTTAAAGGGGGAACAAATCCAGGTCGTCCACGCGCGCAAGATTGATTCTGGACCGTTCGATCATGGGGCATGCGGATCTCCTGTGTGGCATCCCGCA